TGCTGCTAGGTCCCATCCCTCAGCTGGTGTGGCCAAGTGAACAGTTCTGACCAGTGGGGCTAAGGAGCAGTGGTGGACGGGACTTCCAGAAAGCTTCTTTAAAATGGGGCAGAGAGATGGGGAGAGTCCATTTGTGTTTCCTCCTTGGAGCTACTTGGAATGCTGACAGCCAGCCTGGAGGCAGCCGCCAGGTACCGAGAGACAGTGCCTGGGTCCTTGATGACTTGGAGAAGTTGTCATCCCAGCCTGGACTGCCCCTTCTGGACTTGTTTTATGGGGGAGAACAATAAACCCTGTGTTTCTTCTTTCCTCCTGCCATTTTTAGTTTTCTGTTTCAGGTAGCTGACTCCAACCCTAACTTTGGAAGTGAGCATGCCCTAACTCCTTCTGCACAGAACTCCCGGAGGGAGCCCATCTGCTGGGCACCTACCGAGTGTCCGCACCGGGTCTATACCATGAGCCTCCACTTTACACTTGCAGAAACTGACCTCTGAGAGCCAGGTTTGGGTACAGACCACTCTGGGTATCTTTTTGTTATCCGCTTACAATCTTGTAGCAGAGAAGTGACCGTCAGCACCAAAGGTTTAAAATATGTATACACACAAGACAAAACTGTCTCCATCAGCTCAGTGTTTTCTGGGATTTAGAGAAAGATCCTGCTATTGGGTCCCTGGGGTGGCACTGCCCCACCTTGCAGGCTTCATGAGACTATCTGTTGACAGTTGCGAGGACCGTGTTCTGTAGCTGACTCAGCTCTCTCTGTCCTGTGGGTGGTGTTATTTGAGCCTCACAGAAGCCCTGTAGTGCAGACTCAGGGACAGGGGTGGCTGAGAAGCAAAGCACATGTACCCTCCAAGTAAGTCCCAAGCCCAGTAGTAAACATCCCAGTCCACACCCATTTCCACGGAATTCAGAATTTGCCTGTTGGCTGGGCGTGGTGGCTCACGCCTGTAATTCTAGCACTCTGGGAGTCTGAGGGGGGAGGATTGCTTGAGGTCAGGGGGTCGAGACCAGGCTGAGCAAGAGTGAGACCCCATCTCTACTAAAAAAATAGAAAGAAATTAGCCGGACAACTTAAAAAAAATAAAAATATGTATATATAAAATTAGCCAGGCATGATTGCACATGCCTGTAGTCCCAGCTACTAGGGAGGCTGAGGCAGGAGGATCACTTGAGCCCAGGAGTCTGAGGTTGCAGTGAGCTAGGCTGACGCCATGACACCCGCCTGGGCAACAGAGTGAGACTGTCTAAAAAAAATAAAGGATTTGCCTGTCCCATCCTCAAGGTCTTGCTAGAGACCAGGAGTCTTGTCTGATTCACACATTCTACCATGTGAGTAGAGGCTGATAGCGTCATCTTGTCCCCTCTTAGGTGGCGTATAAATATTTCACAGGGACCTTCTGGAATTGTCCTGAAGGCAAAAATCTCAGGTATCACCATCCTCATCATCCAGATGTTACGGCTGTGTGCCAAGAGCGTTCACAGATCCCCTCACTCACTCCTCTCAGCAACCCAGCAAGAGGATGGTGACAGGAAGATGTTTAGCCCCATTTTACTGCTGAGGAAACTGAGGCTTAAATGATAATGTGAGTTGCTCAAAGGCTTTCAGCTTGTTAACGACAGAGCTGGGATTTGAACCCACACCCTCCTGACTCCCAAGGCTGCGGTCATGACCCTGCGTTATGTCGCCACAGGAGAACGCATTTGGGGGCCAGGATGTGCCATCTTAGGCCTCCACCAAGAGGTGACTCTCTCCGAGGCTCAGCGTGGCTACAGAAAGAGGAGGCACGATGGTCACCCTTGCCAGCAGCCGGCTCTTTCCCCAGACGCCAGTTGTTCATCCACACAGCTGCTGGGGCAGCACGGTAGCGTCGACTCCATTTTGCCAGTGAGAAAACTGAGGCTCAGAGAAGGGGTGTGACCTGCCTGAGACCACATAGTGGATGAAAGGCGAGGCCACACCTTGAACCCCCGTCTTCTGCCTCCAAGTTGGGGGCCCTACCCTGACACCCTGGCTCTGCAGAAGGTCTGCCCTGCCAACGACACGCCTGCTCGCTGCGCACAACGCAGGAAGTTCCGAAAGTCCCTCGGGATGGCTCAGGTGTGGCTGAGCTGGAAGCCCTTCAGGGCCCCCGGGACCTGCTCCTGACTCACGCCTTCCGCTTCCTCCCCCTGCTACCCCCAACAACAACCAGCACCGGGGTCCCCTCCCTTCCTGAAAACGCTGCTCCCCTGGCTGTGAGGCCACCGGGCTTTCCTCTGCCCCGCCCTCCCCTCCACCTCTGTCAGCCTGGGCCTTGACAGGCCGTGCTGGCTCTGAGGGGTTAAAGGTGCCGGTGTGGCCTTCATCTAACAAATGGGCTGCGTGAGTGGAGGGACCGTTGTTGTTCTTTCCTGGCCTCAGAAGAGGGGCCTGTCAGGAAGATGTAGAGGCCCACAGGCCCCCGGCCGTGCCCCGCAGGGGGGCTGACAGACGCCAGCAGCTGCCCGGGCGCCGGGGTGCCAGGGCCCCATGTTCCCAGGGCAGAGCACCCCAGCACGCCCCCGCCCTGTGCCCCTCCTGACCTCCCCCACCCTCCGTGACCCAGGGCCCACCCCTTCCAGGGGCAAAGGGCCTCCCTGGGATGGGGCCCCAGGCCCAGATGCAGATGCGGAGCGGGAAGCCGGTTACAGGCCAGGCCCTGGGGAAGCTGGCAGGCTGGCTCTTCCCCCGGCCCCAGGTGGCTTCCTTCCTGGGCCCCACAGCACAGCGCGTGCCCCAGCCCCACAAGGCTGTTTCTGTAGAATTTCCTCAGTGTTCCCTGTCCCCAGTTCCCCACTTTGGGATCATTGCGGTTAAGAGACATAGAGGCCCTGGGAAGAGGTCACGTTTATCTGTCACCTGGTCTGCCCTTCACATACAGGATTTCACTCAAAATTCACAACATCTGTGGGGCGGCATTCCAATGCAGCCGGGCCAGGCTGCCTGGGTTTGAATTCTAGGTCTGCCACTCTGCTGCTGTGTGGCCTTGGGCAGGTTACACAGCCTCTCTGTGCATCAGAGTCCTCTTCTGAAAAACAGAGCTGATGAGACTAGCGCTTGCCCCAGCAGGCTTCTGTGGGGACCCCCTGGGGCCATGTGTGCAAGGTGCAAAGACCAGTGGATGGACGTAAGCCATGACCACCTTCCTGGGTGAGGAAACAGAGGCTCAGAGAGCCCAGGTGACTAGTCCCGGTCTCACAGCTGGGAAGTGGCAGACCTGGGATTTAGACTCAGGCTTGTCTGACCCCAAACCCCCATGTCCCTTCCTCTACAAGCTCAAGACGGAAGGAAAAGCGGGACGCTCAAGGTCAACTCCTGGTTCTGCCATTTCTTAGCGGCGCTGCTGAGCCGCCTGCTCATCTGTCTGAGCCTTGGTCTCCTCACCTGCAAAATGTGCAGGCAATTCTCACTGCACGCACAGCAGGGGAGGTGCGAGGTGCAGAGAAGACTTGCACGTGCAACAGCTAAGCCCAGGGCCAAGCAGAGAGGTGAGTCTCGTTGGTGGCCATGACCCCATCTTCTCTACTGGTCTACGACACCCGGGCCCCGAGCTCCAGAAAAGGCCACGTCTTTGCGTGAAGTGTGCACACCCCCATCTTGGACAGCTCTTCCTGCCCCCGCCGGGACGGGACGCAGATGTGACTGGAGTTTCCAGGTTAAAGGCAGGTGGGATCTTCTATTTCGCACCCCTGGGGCCCCCCCTGCTCCCTTCCTAAGTCTGCCAGCTTGGAGCACCTCCCTCCCCCCAGGGCCCTGCGCCCAGGCAGCAGGGCTAAGACCCACAGGCCGCTCCTCAGGGAACCCTGGTGTCTTTGGAACCAGCCAGCAGAAACATTGCCATTAAAGCCCACATCTGCTTCTGCCCTGATCCTGCCGCTCCGGGCAGTGGAAACACGCGGTGGGAGAGCAGTTCTGGCCCCCGTGTGTGACATCACATCACATTACCCCGAGAAATTGCACTACCCCTCCAGAGAGAGCAGCAGGGCACGGCCATGAAGTGGACCGACTGACCAGCTGAGACGGCCACTTGGGCTGGCCGTCCTGTGATGTGCCCCCGCCAGAAAGACACGTGGGACTGTTTGCCCAAGAGGCTCCTTTGGGGAATAGGAGCCCCCATTCCTACCTCCACGCCCGATCGCCTCAGCCTCTGGGGGTCGAGGAAGGGAAGCAGGTGGGTAGAGGTTAGCGGGGCAGCGAGCTGGTGGAGGTGAGACCTGAAGAGACTTCAAGGACTTTATTTAAGAGCCTTGACGTTGCTGTGGAGAAGAAACCACTGGAAACCTCTCTAGAGAAGAGTGTGGCTAATTGGCATGTAAGTTGGAGGTTAAAGAGCGGAAGGAAGAATCCGATTGTTTTTTTAAGTTACTGAGAAAGTGGGAATGTCACTTTGGGCAGGGAGCAATTCTTTTTTTCTAGAGTGTGCCTTTCTTTATACGACAGACCATAGTGGGCCGCTGAGACTTGCAAAAAAGATTTCTTTTAATCCACCTTCCTTTCCCGCAGGCAGCAGTAGAAGGGCCTTTAAATCAAATGCAATCACCAAGCTTGTCTCTTGCACTTATTCCCCACTTCACTCCCTGGAATTTGGCATTTGATGGATCCTGGATCTGACTTAAGGCTTTTTCGAAATCCAGGACTTGGGGAATTTTGTTAACAGTGCAATAAAAAATAACTTCATAGTGTTACAGGAGGCGCATTAAAGGCGGTGTGTGCGTGTGTGTGTGTGTGTGTGTGTGCTGCTCTCTCCTTAAAAAAAAAAAATACAGACAATGTTTCTTTAAAAGTCTCCATCTGCAAATCCCATTAGATGTGCATATAAGGTTTCTGATGATTAATAGTTGCCTGCTAGGGTTTTGGTTGGAGGGGATCTTGTGTGTTCGGGTTAACCCCTCCCTCTCCTCTCTCACATTTCACTTCAGAAATTTGTCACTCTCTCCCCACCGCAGGATTTAAAAGTGTGTCTCAGCAGCCCTGGTCCAGCCCTCTGCAGGGATTCGCTCCAGGGTCCGAGTCGAGCTCCCCATCAGCTGGTGCGTCTGGGCTGGGACAGTGAAAATGTTCAGTGTCATCGGCGACAAATACACGTACAAGGGACCCCAGTAGGCAGGCCGGTGTGCTGGAGGGCAGGAGGCGAGGAGCGAGGCCAGACACAGGTGTGTGCACGCGCACAGGGTAGCTGGCCACGTGTGTGCACGCTCTAAGGAGAGACTTTAGTTTTGGTTTTTGTTTTGGTTTCTGGGGTGAACTTTCTGTTGAACGCTTTTCCCTCCTATTTACGCTTTTTCCCCCCATTTTTAAAAATTTGCATACAAAAAGTGAAGAGTGAAATCTTTGAAAGGACCAAGGCGTGCAGCGGACAGCAGATGGATCCCTCAGCCAGCAGCTGCATGAGGAGCCCCCAGCCCCCAGCCCCCATCTGGGGCTGCCTTCGAAACCCCCACTCCGAAGGCAGTGGGGCCTCAGGGCTACCCCACTACCCGCCAACCCCGTTCTCCTTCCACCAGAAACCAGACTTCCCAGCGACAGCGACGGCAGCCTACCCTGACTTCTCGGCCTCCTGCCTGGCGGCCACCCCACACAGCCTGCCCCGGGAGGAACGCATCTTCACCGAGCAGCACCCCGCCTTCCCGCAGCCCCCCGACTGGCCCTTCCCTGTCTCGGAGGCTCGGCGCAGGCCCCACTCAGGCCCACCTGGCGGTTCCAGAGAGATGGGGACCAGCAGCCCAGGCCTGGTGGATGCCACAGGAGGCCCAGGAGAGGACTACAGGGTGCTTGGGAGCACTGCCAACGAGACAGAGAAGAAATCATCCAGACGGAAAAAGGAGAGTTCAGGTAGGTGGCTGAGGGACAGCTGACCATTCCTTTACTGTGTGACCTTGGGGAGGTTGCTCACCCTTTCTGAGCTTAGGAGGCCTGACCATGAATTTCGAACAATACTGTCTAACCTACCTGAATGCAGGAGACTAGACCAGGTCCTTCTGGGGTTTCTTCCACTCCCAGTTCCAGGATTCTCTGGTGATGCACCTGTGTCCCCAGTACTCCTGGGCCCCAGGAGGGATGTGCCAGTGAGACAATGAAACAGGATCAGCAAATATTTGCAGGACACGTGGGATGGAACCTCTGGGTGCTAGAGAGGGGCTTTGCTGAGCTCAGGCTTTCTCTGGGTCATACTCCTCCCCACAGTGCTCCAGCCAGCTTCGTACATCCCAGAGCCACAGGGCTCACTCACCAGGGGCGTCACCTGAGACCAGGCTCAGAGGATTAGGACTGAGCTTGGGTCCCTGAGTGCCACCCAGACCCAGGACTCTACGTATCCAGGATCCTAGAGGCAGAGAAGCAGGCCTAGGGCTGGGATGGGAAAGGCAAGGGGTGGAGGGAGGGAGATGGAGGGCTGGGATTTGGGGCAGACAGCCCACCAGGTATCGCTCTGCAGAGCTGGGCCATGCCCCAACCCAGGGGATAGCTTGGCATGCTAAGGTCTGGCTGGCCCCCAGGGAAGGCAGCCCTGCCAGGAGCCCTCCTGAGGGATGGCCGGCCTTGGGAGAGTCTGGGAGGCAGGTGGCCGAGGGCTAGCACTGGGCAGAGCCCTTCTCCTCCCCATGGTGGGGGCCTGTTATTTCCTCATGTCCCCATGGGGCCCTCTCTGGCTTCTCCCACTGCCCATTCACCTTTTGTCTGGTTCCTTGTCCCCACCTTGCCCAGAGCAAGGCAGTCCCAAGCCTCCCGCCCCGCTGCCCTACTGTCCTGTCTGGCTGAACCTATAGAGGCCCTTCCCATGGGGCTGACCAGGGCCAGCCAGGAAAGGGGCTACCAACCAATAAATGGGAACCCTGTGCCTTGCTTTACAAAGCCCTTGTGACTTAGCACAGATTTCCGGATATCTGCTCTTTGCCGAGCCCCAGGAACGCTGAGATGAATAGGGGAGTCTCACCCCAAAAGAGCTCAAACTGAGAGGAAGAGGCGGCAGAGGCCTGTTGGCCGTGGGACGTGCTCTGGGGGAAGGCTGGGGTGCTGTGGGGTACAGACGGTAGCTCTTTCCAGCCCTACAGGTTGGGGAGGCAGGGACAGCAGTTTGATTAGTATCTTGATTCTATCCGTGTGGAAAAGGAGAGGCTGGAAGTTGGAGGGGAGCACTGCAAAAATGGGGTCAAAATACAGTGGGCAACGCATCTCAATTTGCCTTGCCCAGGACTTTTCTGGGTTTAGCATTGAAAATCCCGTGTCCCAGGAGAGCCCTCGGTCCTGCGCAAACCAGGAGAGTTGGTCACCCTAGATGTGAACTCAAACCTGGGACTTCAGACCCCAAACCCCACACCTCTCGGTAGATTTCAAACACAATCCTCATGTTGCAATGGTATTTGGTCTCCATGCGTGAAGAAGCCCCTCCAGGGCTCAGAGTGCGTGATAATAGCCACAGCTGCCCTCCTGGCTGCTAATAGAAGGGCCCTTTAAATCCTAGTGGTTAAATCCTCAGCAGGAAAATTAACTATTTCTACCCCTGGTTGGAGATTTGCCAAGAAGGAAAAAGAGAAGGAACTCTGAGTGACTTGGCTCTGGGCTGTGTTCGAGAGCTTTCCCCTCCGTGGCGTCAGTCACTGCGGCTCCTCCGTCTCTGCCCACATCTCCCATGGCTGCATCCAGCCGCTTTCCAGGGATCCGAGAGCCAAGGGCACTGGGAAGGGTGAGCAATGCCAAGAGCCTGCTGGGCTCAGGCGAAATCTTTCATGATTCTAAGTTGCAGCAAAACCTAAATGTCTTTCCTTTTGGCAAGTGGAGGATGGTCCTGCATTGTGGAGCCCAGCACACACGCCTTGCAGCTGACCGCCCCAAAAGCACATGGACCCCCTCTGCTGAATGCCACGCACCCTTCATGGGGTCAGCCTCCAGCGGGGAGGTGCCCTGGGCTCTCCCGAGGGGTGCCCTCAGAAGCAGCAGCAGTACACGAGGGGCACAGCAAGCCACCTTTCATTCATTCCCATGTGGTTCCAGACCCACTCTCTGGAAATATTATTGCCCACTTGCTTGAGTCTCTGCTTGGAATTTAACTGAAAGGGAAGAAGAAGGTGGGAAAGATGAGCTGCATAAGAGCCTAAAGAAAGGAGAAAGTGAGGAGCAAGACTCGGCACCTACCCCAGGAATCTAGAATTCAGCTCAGAAAAGACAAACCCACGAAGAACCACCACCCTACCCCACCAATCCTGAGTCACTGGTTAGATCCTCTATCTAAAATTTTGATATTTTGGCCAGGCGAGATGGCTCACGCCTGTAATCCTAGCACTCTGGGAGGCCGAGGTGGGAGGATTGCTTGAGCTCAGGAGTTTGAGACCAGACTAAGCAAGAGCGAGACCCCATCTCTACTGAAAATAGAAAGAAAATTAGCTGGGGGGGGGGCGGTGTGCATGCCTGTAGTCCCAGCTACTCGGGAGGCTGAAGCAGGAGGATTGCTTGAGCCCAGGAGTTTGAGGTTGCTCTGAGCTAGGCTGACACCATGGCACTCTAGCCCGGGTGACAGAGCAAGACTTTCTCAAAAAAAAATTTGATATTTTGTTCATCATCTATTTTTTGCATTAATTTTTTTTTAAAACACTGCGTTCAAATAGCATTTATCTTAATTACTGAGGGTTTGGGTAACTCACCCCAGTCCCAGCTGAGCCATCTCTGCAAGGTTAAACAGCATTGATCAGAAATGTGTCTGCCATGGTACTTCACAGTTGGACAGATTGCAGAATCAACACTGCAACTTTCTGGCTGCAGGACGTTGGGGAAGTTCTTAATTTCTCGCAGCCTCTGTTTCCCCAGCTGTAAAATGGGGATATAGCAATAGCGCCCTCTATATGGAGTCCCCGTGGAGGTTAAATGCAGTGACCCAAGAGATTAACGCTGTGCCTGACACAAAGTAAGAGTTCAATACACAGCAGCTGTGAACGGTATTAGGCCCCTATTTCCTGAACCAGCCCATCAGAACATAGGGTCTGACAAATATTCCTGTATTTGTGAGGACAGTGGAATTGAATGTTTCAAATATGCTGTCTCAGAAAGTCCTGAGTCTGGGGTATAAGACTTGGAAACTTCTTGCAATTATTTTGGTCCTAAAATCCAGTTGTCATCAATTAGGAGCTTGGAGCGCAAAGATCTGCCGGAGCAGTTGTGGGGTGAGTTGTGCCTGGAAAATGCGCCCCACGCCGGTGGTGCAGGAGGCTCCAGGAACTGAAAGCCTGTCCCCAACTGCTTCCCCTTTCTCCTAGTGGAAGTTGGAGCTGATTTGCTCAAATCATGATCAAGAAAGCGGGGCCCCTGGGGGTCCCTGGCCCTCCCCGACCCGGGAGACCTGTGTACAGTGTTATCTTAGAGAACCACTCCCAGCCCCAGGCCAGTGGGGGTTAAAGACCCCTGCTGGCAGGGACAGCTGCGAGGCCACTGTTGTTTTACCCCAAACTGTCATTGCTACCGTGGTTGTCTTTAATTTATGAGAATGAGGGATTTCGCGGTGATTTCCTGATGGAGTTCAAGGGGAGGTTTTGTGTGATCAGAGGCTGCAGGTGAGTCGCCCGCCTGCCTGGGAAGCGGCCGTGCTGGGACTCACGCTGCTCTGCCCGTGCTCATGTCCTCGCTCTGCGGAGACTCGTCTTTAATCAGACTCGATTTGTCCCAGCCTCCTTCAACTCCAACACGTGTGTTCCCAAGGGCTCATCCGGCGAATTTCTCCCCTGCAAGATCTGATCTCCACCTGCCCCCGCCCAACCACAAACTCTCAAATTCGCCCGAGGTTTAAAACTCTCCGCAAAGGAGCCCCTCTCTGGCCCTCCACTCCCCCTACCACACACATCCTGCGTTTTCTTCCTCCCCTTCCTTAGTCTGGCCTGTGTCCTAGCCCTCAGGACCGGTCCCTTCCCCCACCTTCTGCCTGTTGAAGTCCTACTTTAACACCCAGCTCAAAAGCCACCCCTTCCAAGAACATTTTCTTTCTTTTTTAAAAAGATTTACGACTACACTTGTACATTGCATCCACCAGTGAAAACTATAGTTAATTTTCAAACTATCGTATCTGTTAGAACCTGTGCTGATTTCCTCACTTCAGCTTGCAACTTCATAAAGGAACTCTCCTTAGATTTCTTACCACGGCACATCTTATATTCAAAATCTTTTTTGTTTGTTTGTTTTATGTCAAAAACACATAAGATTTACTATCATAATCATTTTTAAGTGATACAGTAGAGTCAACTATATATACTGTGCAATAGATATCTAGAAGTTTTTCGTCTCACCGAACTGAAACTCTATATGCATTAAACAACTCCCCTTTTCCCTCCCCCCCCAGTGCCTGTCAACCACCATTCTATTTTCTGTTTTGAGGTATTTTAGATACCTCATATAAATGAAATCATATGGTATTTGCATTTTTATGACCAGCTTATTTCACGTAGCAAAATATCCTCAAGTTTCACCCATGTTGTAGCGTATGACAGGATTTCCTTCTTCTTTAAGGCTGAATAGTATTCCATTGTGTGTGTGTGTGTCTATAGAAAGAGCACATTTTACTTATTCATCTGTTAATAAACATTTAAGTTGTTTCCACCTCTTGGCAATTATGAATAGTGCTGCAATGACCATGGGTATGCAAATATCTCTTTGAGATTGTATTTTTAATTCTTTTGGATATATATCCAGAAGTGGAATTGCTAGATCATACAGTAATTCTAGTTTTAATTTTTTGAGGAAACTTCATACTGTTTTGCATAGCAGCTGCACCATTTTACATTCCCACTAGCATTGCACAAAAGTTGCAATTTCTCCAAATTCTTCCCAACATTTCTTATTTTCTGGTTTTTTGA